GGACCTGCAGTGGAGCAGCCAGCAGCTCAGCTCCTGTTCCCCGTGTCCTAGGTGCAGCAGAGCATCCGATGTACCCCCACTCTCTCCCCAAACCGTACACAAAGATGGTTGGAACACATCTTGGTGCCCAGCGGTCTGTCCCCTGCACGGTGATGTTGACCATGGCAGTGTCGTGGTCAGCGGGGTGCAGAGCGTTGTAAGCCTGGATGAGGAGGTGGGCACGGGCCACCTCCAGCCTGCGGGTGCTGCGGATCTCACCTGTCACTGTGGGAGGAGGCACGGCCTTGCACTGCGCACAGGGACAGGGGCAGGATGTCCCTGGGGCCCCCACCCCCCTGCTCACCCTCGTCAATGGTGAAGAGCGTGGGTGCCACGGGAGCAAGGATGGCATAGCGGACATTCTCACCACTGGCATGGACCTGTGTGACCACCTTCCAGGGGCCAATGCCCTCTGTCACCGTCACAGACCGGTGTGGCTCGCTGCAGGCAAAGTGGGCAGTGTGGCATGTCCTGGTGCCACCAGCAACCCCCGCCCGGCCCGACCCCACTCACGGAAAGGTGACACGGGGACGGCGCGATGGCAGCACCTCCACTGTCACAGCCCCGCTGCAGTTGTGCCCGTGGCGGTCCATCACCTCAATCTCCAACTTGAACATCTGCAGGGTAGTGCCAGGGCAGCTGTGGGACAGCCCTGAGCAGCACCAGGGATGGGGAAGTGGACGGGGTGGGGATTGAGACAGGGATGGACACAGGAATGAGGACAGTAATGGGCACAGAGACAAGAATAGGGATGGGATGGGGACAAGAGACAGGGAAGAGGAGGGGTACAGGGACAAGAATAGGGCTTGAAGCAGGAACAGAGGTGGGAAGATAGGTGGAGATGGAGATGAGTTGAGCTGGAGACTGAAATGGGGACAGGAATAGGGACAGGGATGAGAACTGATACAGGACTCAAGATGCAGAAGGGGATGGGGACAGAGCTGGAGCACTCCAAGGTCCAGAGAAAGACAAGAGCCCAATGAGAGGAACAGGATGTGGAGAGCTGCAGGCAGTGCCAGGAGGGGCGAAGCCCAGGCTGCTGACACAGCCTGGGGATGCAGGTGCCAACCTGGGTGTCCTTGCTGGGGTCAAAACCACTGTCAGGCGCCAGCACCACGCCCCGGCGGGTGAGCGTGAGAGGTGTGTCGTGGTTTCGGAGCCTGAACTGCAGAGAGGAGGGTGATGGAAACCCCTGTCCCCCTCCTCCACAGCTGAGGTCCCATTGTCTCCAAGGCTACTCCCATTTGTGGGGGCTGCAGGCCCCCGGGGAACTGTCACTCACCATCAGCCCACCAAGCGGCTGCGGCAGCACCGCATACAGGGGTGTCCGGGGCGCCACATCTGCCAGCACGTGCACCACGTCACCCCCTGGGGCAGAGCACGACTGTGGGAGCTTGGTGCCAGCTGGCACCTGCAGCCCCCCCTGCCCCACGCCTCTGGTTCCTACCGGCACTGGTGAAGGGGGTGTCACAGCGCAGCACCTGTCCTGATGTCACCTGGACAAAGAGCCGCTCTTCCACCTCGTCCTCTCCGGGACAAGCGGCCCGGAGGGTCAGGGTGTACTGATTCACCCGGCGGGCATCGAGCTCCGCACCAGCACGCAGCGTCACCTGCCATGGGGACATGTCACTCAGCAGGGCACCCAGGGCTCCTGCCCCACTCCCTGTTCCCCAGTCGCACCTCTGCCTGGAACATGGTGGCAGATGTGGGGTTGGCACTGATGGCAATGGGGTTGAAGGGGTGGTCGGGCTCCATGCTGTCCAGGGTGACATTGGGGCTGCCACTCATGTTGCTGCAGGACACGGTCACCTCGGCCACGCGAGTGCCCAGCACTGTGTCCTCACTCAGGGTCACCACACGTGGCAAGTCAGGTAGGGCTGGCAGGAGACCCCAGGGACCACCAATAGCTCACCAGCTGTGCTTAGGGAGCTCTGCTCCTGCTCCCGGGCACCCATGCTGGCACAGGTCTCTCTACTGGGCACAGTGGGTCCCAGAGCACCTCGTTCTTACCTGTTGCTTTGATGAAAGTCCCTGCAAAAAGGAGAGTGTCACCCCAGGTTGCCAGACTGTGCCCTGGAGAAGCCCCAGAACTCACGGAATCATAAAATCATAGAATATGCTGTGTTGGAAGGGACACATCAGAACCACTGAGTCCAACTCCTGGTCCCACACAGGGTACCCCAAGAACCACACCATGTGCCCTCTGTGATGCTCTGAAGATGCCCCAGTGGCACCTGGATATGCATTAGTGATGCCCAGAAGATGCTCCAGTAATGCTCTGGCAATACCCTGAGGATGCCCAGGCAGTGCCCTGAGGACACCATGGCAATGCCTGAGGATGCTCCAGCAATGTTCCCTCCCTGTTTGAACCCAGCCAGGTAGCTGCCAGCCCCTCTGCCCTTCCTGAGGTCAGCCCCAGAGCCCTTTTTCCCCTCCTCTCAGTCACCCACTCAGGTTCTGCTAAAGGGTGCCTCTGACACTGTGACCCTAATGTTCTTACCTGGGGTATAGAGGTTGAGGAGGAGGAGGACGAAGGTGAGGTGTTCGTGCATGCCCATCGTTCGCTGGATGTTTGGGACAAGCTGCAGCCGGTTGCCAGGGGTGCTGGGCACCACCCCGGGCCGGCGTCACGCTGGCCATCCCCACCCGTGGGGGCCGACCCAGTCAGGGGAGGGACAGGGCACGGCCCCAGTGCCCCCTCTCCCAGCCCCTCGCCCCTCACAGCCACGGTCCGTGGGGTTTGGCTGCCACCCCACGCCGCCTCGCCACGCGGCACGTTCGGGAACCGGGAAAATTAGCTGGGAGGTAATTTTTGGCCGTGTTCGCCTTCATTTGCAAGCCAGCGCCGCTTTTCTCCGGGATCCCTATTAAACGCTATTAGCTGCCAATTAACGGGCGCTGCGGCCGGGGTCACTCTTCCCCTCCAGCCTCCAGCGCCCAGCCCGTTTCTGGCAGCCTGGTATAGGCGGGTGTCCCGCAGGGACCTCGTACCGGGGTTGCCCCGCTTCTCACCGGGACGCGGGTCCCGCCCGGCGCGGCGGTGCCCG